ACCATGAAATAGACGTTATTGCTAAAATAAGTAACTTGCTCTATTTTATTTAGTTAGTAAAATTTTTTGTTAAAACGTGTTTATTTATAAATTAATTGAATTATAAGTATATTATTAGTAAGCCAAACATGGAAATTTATAAATTAAATTTCAGCCTACCCCAACATGCTAGTTTAGAGATTTCACTAGAAACACAAGCCAAGGAAGATAATCTCCGAACTTCAAAATAATAGCAAACATATTTTTAGTCAAATCCTAAATAAGATATAACATAAATGAACAGCTAAAATAGAAACATGAGATAGGACATAGGAGAGAGCCGACCCAACAACGATATAGGAAAGATGCTGAGTTTTTATCATTTTAATTTAGGAAATTGATGTCTAAGGGTGTGTTTGATGGATATTATTGAACAAAAAATGTATTTTAAATAGTGATATGATGAAAAATATATGGTTAAAAAGTAAGGAAAGTTTATTGGTGTGATAGAAAATATTATTTTATTGAAAAATATGTGGTTGAAAATGAGTTATGAAATAATGTATTTTGAAAGAATGTGTGTTAAACATGATCTAAAATATAATGTGTATTCAGATGAAGGAAACAAATGAATAGAAAGAAAGTCCAAACTGATAATGCATAATGTGGATGAAATTCAGTTGTGAGTTTTCTTGTGTTGATTTTTTTATTTTTTATTTTTCTCGAACAACTATTTTCTCAGCATGAACATTCCTTGAAGTGGTTACGAGCAGGAAGCGGAGAAATTCCTTGAAAAATTTAAAGATCCATACTTTTATGTTTTGCTACAACATTTTAATATTTATAACCTTTTCCTAGTACAATGCTTATGTTATTTGTCTCAAAATCGCTGAGATGTAAGCCAATTGTCGATATCAATGATGATTTTGAGGTTGCCGAAAGATCGATTTCCACTACGTAGGATTCTAGATGATTAGCCAGATTCTATTTCTTTTCCGTCCCAAACAAAGAACCCTAGCCTCATTCATCTCCTACTCTTGAAGGAAATGAGGTGATCTCTCTACAAAGGTAAATTTGTCCGTAAAGTAAAAATTTAGTTATTTTTATTCCATACATTTGTTTTTACACTTTCTGCGACTAATAGTTTTTTTTTCTTTTTTTTACAATTAATTTTCAGGTCTCTGAATTTATTGAATTGGGGGTCCTCGAAAATAATGAGAACTAAATGTGTGTGGTGTTAGTTTCTTGAGTTCTCATTCACTGCATTACATCAGTTATGCTGAAGAAACCTAATGCATTTTGGCAGATAAACTGTAGTTTTAAGGTGCTTGTTCTTTGTTGTCAGGAACCATTTGCGCTTTCATTTTTATTTTTACTAGTGGTGTAACGTGTGTTGCACGATGATTGTTATATTTTTATAATTTAATTCATCAAAACGATAATATATTTTAGAAACTTTAAACATATAATGATGTAGACTTAGCATGAACGATTATAAATATACATTAAGTGATAAATGATAAAGACAGTTTATGGTCATAATGGATTTCATGATTTAATTAAGATCAAGAGATTAATAATAATAATAATAATAATAATAATAATAATAATAATAATAATAAGTACATCAACAAAAAGCACAAGAAACTCAATTTGAAGGAAAGACTATAAAATTCACGTTGACAGGAAAGAAAAAGTTACTGTTATTCAAACAATCTCTTTCCTGGCATCCAATTTCTTTTTAAAAAAATGATAATAAGTTACATATGCAAATGCCATCAAAACACCAATATTTTTAAATTAAACAGAAAATCATATGGTACAGCATAAAATACTTCAGCACTATATGCTTCTCTGTTGCAACGTACATGTACGAATGATACACACAGTCCTTGAACATATGAAAGTGTCTTAATTTTGTGATTGCCTCTCGAGGTTTCGTAGCAAGCTTTATCTCTAGTACAATCTGATATAATTCAACAATAAGTTTTCTATAAGATAGGGAATAATAATAATAATAAAAAAAAAAAAGAGTTCGAACAACTATATAAATGAATATTACATAATGTGCAACACCATCACCTTCCTCAACGTAGAATTATATCATCTATCATGTGGAACCTATGTAAAAAATGTATACGTGAGCTATGACCATGAAGAAAGTTTTACCAGCAGGAACTTGTAAATCAGTTGCATGAATGAGATCAAACTCGATAAGCTCTGCAAACCCAAATTGAGTAGTCACAGAGATTGTCTGTCAATAAAGTGATAAATTTACTTTAAAGTGGTAGGAGTTGATAGTAGAAATCATAAAAAGAAAGAACTTTGCCATAAGAACAAATATATTACAAAGGAGTACGGGACAGTAACTAATTCATTTCCCAAAATTCGGGCAATGCATCTTTCATATTCAAAAGTAACTTGAGCAAGTTTTTTTTCTATAGAATTTTATGAAAAAATTAGAAACTGAAAAAAAAAACTTTTAAAGCATTCTCAATCCTATGTTTTTTTGCAATAGAAGAAAAAAGCAGAGAATTGATATGAAAATGCTTATGATACCTTATGGAAGTTCATATGAAATGTAGCCATTATGTCACAATTTAAGCAAGAGGTTTTCAACTAAGATGTCGAGATATATTTCAATGCTTTTAAGTGACGACTTATTAAGTAAAATGTCATAGTACAGTTCTATTGATATGTGTACAAATTGCACGATAAATGATTGATTCATAGAATCGGATAATATAATTTATATTTTTTTCTGCATCGTGAGGTCTAATTTTAGAAAATCCAAGTAACAATATATGCAATTAAAATTAATGTTTAAGTTTGCCTCAAATATAAGAAACTCATGATATTTCATAAACATGTTCATTTGGATACAAATAATGTTAATTACTATAGAAAAATATAAATGACAAATGACATGTATACATGTTGACAACACACCCTCATCACATAAAAGAAATTATTCGCATTTGCAATTGATTATGTGAAGAATCATATTCACGAAAAATTTCTCTCTTTTATCACTCACAGTTGCATTCTACAAGTATATGAGTAGTCGGAATAGTGTAGCAAGAAAAAAAATATTAAGATAATAAGTTTTTTGATAGAAGACAAAAAACAAAGCAATTGAATAACCAAGTGGAAGTACACATAAAACTACATATATTATTCTTATTATTTTAGCCCGAAGCAAGATCATACCTATGCAAAATCGACATTATTCACACGGAACCACGTGCTCTTAAAGAATGCGTTTGACTTGCTTCTACTTGAGAGCAAATTATAAATTTTGTTGGAGGGAACATGGATGACTTCGCTTTGATACATATTGCAAGTACTTTACATGTCTGTTTTCAAATATCGAAAGGTAAACATATTTTTTTATTAGCATAAGGAACTATCAAAAGATCGAAAAATGCAATATAAACAATTACATTAATAATAATAATAATAATAATAATAATAATAATAATAATAATAAGATTATGCAAGAGAGCAAAATACGAACTTCATTAATACCATACTATTTGTCGATTTCAATAGAAATAAAACTTTTCAAATGATCAATTGCATATGCGAATATTTTCTAAAGATTAAGACCCAAATAACTCAAATCCACGTATTTTTGCATCAAACAGAAAGTTGCATGCCTCTTACAACTAACCTAAGACATAAAATTTATCAGGAACGAAACTTTCAAATAAATGGCAAAGCACATTTGTGCCTAATTTTTCCATCGTTGTCGTCCATAGGATTTGATGGACCAACATGACTAAATTTCAAAAATGGAAAATGAAGAAAACATGCTTACTGGGTCTCACTTAAACATATCTTCAACATGACTATATTTCAAAAATGGAAAATGAAGAAAATCTGTTTACTGGGTCTCACTTAAACACATCTCTAAACCTTTTATCCATCTTTTGTTCTTATATCATTGACTTTTCCTAGAAGAGAGAAACAAAATGAGTTTTCTATGTAAAAGAGTGATATGAAATTTCTAGTAAATAAATTTGAAATTTAGGATTATGAATTGAGAAAAAGTAATGTAATGTAATAAATGTTAGTTAAGATATCACCTCTCACTATAAAATCATGTCAGAGTATAGAGTTTGAGCCTTTTCCAAAGTAATCATCACTAAGTTTAGAAAGAAGTCTTCTGAAAGTATGGCATAGTTTAAAAGAAAAATTAAATATGTTGATTGAAAAGTCGTCATTGGTTTGAGCACTATAATGTTCATTTTGTAGCTACAAACAAAAGAGAAGTTTTCTGTGATGATATTTGATTGCTCTTTTAAACTATGGCGAGCTTTGGGGAGACCTCTTTCTAAATTTAGTGATAAATGCTTTGGAAAATGCTTAGGCATTATTGTTAATATTTGACTTTTTAGATGTACCTGCAGAAAAATATATAGCTCGATTAAGTAAATAGAAGTGTAAGAGTGAAAGCGTGCCTCAAATAGAAATATAGAGAAGAACAATTACATGATAGAGCGAATATTAAGTGAGAAAAAATCTCTTTAGTTGCATGAATGTATAGTTTTGAAAGCCAAAATTAGGAGCACCAAAAGAAGCATAAAAGATTTTAGTTAGGGCAAAATATTCCTCATAGACCTAGAATATCATGTTTAGATTGTTTTGAAGACATTAAGAGTAGAAATCTATAATGAAGATTTTCCTACTATATATATAAAAGAGCCAGTTTTTTGGCACTGTTCATTTTTTCGTCAACCAAAACGACGCCGTTTGGAGGAGTGTAAAATTGCCCTAATTGCTGTCATTTATGGCAATAAACCTTCCACCTCCAGCTCCTACCTTTTCTTTCTTCTCTCCGTACTGCGCAGAGAGGCGTAGGTTCTTCTTCTTCTTCTCTCCGTGCAGCGTGGAGAGGTTGCCTTCCTCGCTGCGCGAAGTGTTTTCACACTTTGTTAACCTAAACTGGTTCTTCTACAGTGACAATTTGTATTTAGATTATATTAGAGCCTAAATAAAACATGCTCTCTGCTTTTGAGATGCAGACGAAGGAGACAGATGACGAAGACGAAAGATCTATTGCGGTGGCCGGTGCGGCGGAGGAGGAGCTGAAGCTCGAGGCCGACGACTTCAAGTTTAAGGTCGATTCCTTAACCCTTTCCTTTTCATTAACGATTTCCTGTACTCTCTTGATTCCTATTCGATTCTTCCACGTTCTTTCCCCAAATCTCGTACCATCATGCTCTTCTTCTCTAGTCCCTAGATTTCTCTGGCTTAAGCTATTGCTCCTGATTTTGTCCGCCACTGCCTCCGTCGTCGACGCTTGAAAGGTATGTTCTTTCTGCCTTAAATTCCATATCGGTCGGAGACCGTGGGGAACGGAGACACGGACCGTATCTCCATTCGGGATAGACTCTCCCAATAACCAAACGCTCCCAATTTATAAATTTGCTTCAAACTCCCAAAATCAGTGAAAATATGAAATTTGGCAACAAAATGCCTGTCCCCTATTCTCAAAATTTGTATTGTACAATTTCAATCTGACCCTTTCTGATTTTTTCCATTTTTAATTAGATCTGCTCTCAGACTTCTCAAGTCCAATTCATTATATATACACCATACCAATTTTTTTCTTGCCACAATAATAAAATCCTCAATTTACAAGTGTAATCTAAAAGTAAAATTGTAATAGAGTAAGAAAAGAGAGTGTTTCTTTGCTGGGTTTGCTATGGCTAATGTGTTGTCTGTGATTCCAACTACGGTTCTCCGTACCTCTCCGATAAGATGTATGAAAAGCGCAAAAATGAGGCTCTCGAGGTCTTGATTATACATATATGTATTTGTTTGTAATTTTTTTTTATAGTTTTGTGGAGTAATTTTCTGATTTTTGTGTAATTATTCGATTTTTTGGTTTGGTGGGTTCTAGGTGGAAGGGATAGTGAAGCAATTAGCGGTGGCAGGAGATCACGATAAAATTACTGAAGTGATCAATTTGTTGACCACCGAGTTTACCTACTCAACTAAGGCAAATCATCGCAAAGTAAGTTTTCGTTTTAGTTCGGTTTACTTAATTGACATTGAAATGAGGTTTTATTCAATAAACGTTTTAGTTGAAAATTCTGAATTTTAATTTGGTTTTGTTCTATGTATATGCTATTTTGCATTGTAGGGAGGGTTGATAGGACTAGCTGCAGCAACAGTAGGTTTGACTTCAGAAGCAGCACAGCATCTGGAGGTAACAATACTAAAATGTATGAAGTAATCAACCAAGTTTTTGAACTTTTACTCCAGATGTGAACTTTCCTTTCGTTCTCCGATAATAATACTTTTTTCAGATTTATTTTTTGCTTTAGCCATGAGGTCTTGATAAAAGATTCCAAATTATTTTAGGGTGCCAGATAAATAATAATATTAGCTTAAGTATTAATTTTAAGAAAGCACCACAACATCCTCAAAATGTAAGTATATAATTATTTTTCTCAATTTTTTTCTCCTTTAAATTGTAACTATTGTTCACTAATCAAAAATTCCTTCAAGAATTTGCCTATTTTATTCTTATTTTTTAAGAAATTAATTTTTTTTCTTTGTAGTTGTACTTATGAATTGATATATTTGAATCTTGGAGGGGGAAGAAGATGAAATCGTAGGGAAGCAAAGTACAAACAATAGAAAAAGCCACAACAAGAGAAACAAATGGACCTTACTACAAGATATACTCAAATTCTCCAATTTTTATAAAATTAAGCTTAACTTTCATGTTTTAATTTTTTTTCTTTTTCTAACATTGGCAGGTTGATAAGCTGAAGAAGAAACAAGGCATGAAGAAAATGTTTAAGAAAACTTTGGATTGATGAGAGTAAAATTAAATCAATGCGATAAATGCCAATACTTGTTAAAATATTACAAGGTAGGTTATATGAGCTTTGTAATCTTAGATGTTGACCTAACTGCAAGGCATGTTTAGTTCCCACATTATGTTTGGAAGTTTTTTTCTTGATTAGAGACAAGTTGTAACAACATTTACATGCAAATTATGTGATGTCTTTGGATCAGGAAAAATCAGTACCCGGTTTGTCACTGGAAAAGTCTCTGGAATTAGACTGCTTATGAATGTCTATTTTATATTTAAAGAAAATGATAATATGATACCAACTACAAAAAAATTACGAGTTAAATTTTTTCGGACCGGCTTAAGAGTGAATGGGTTCTTATAGAATATGGTGCTAAGTGCTAACTTGTAGTTCCATGGATGAAATGTTTGACACTGCAATTACCTTGCTATCTTGAGCATTATTAACTAATTTCCCAGATGGTTTTGGTCTTATTCTTTTTTTTAATATCTTTTTTAATATGACAAGGATGTGTGAAATTACGCAATAGATGGCTTTGAGCATAATTAATTAACTTTGCCAGATAGTTTTGGTGTAATTATTTTCCCGACTCTGCCTAATTGCCTGTCTTTAAGATCTTCCTAATGTGACAGAGATGTGTGGAATTAATGCAATTGATGACCTTGATATATCCTCACTTTTGGTCAATAAATTGTTATCATACTTTATAGTTTATCCTATATGGTACTTTCTGGTTACATGGAGGCTTGGATGGCCTTTATATATCATCGGTTAGATATTACTGAACTGTTTTGTCAATAAGAATATTTTTATCATGCTCTATAGTTTATTCGATACTGAACTTGCTGCCATGTAGAGATTAAAGAAATGGGTAATTCGGTTTGGAAACGGATATAATGTAACCTATGCTTTTTCTTTTACTTTGTAGGATAATTCATTTTCAAACATCATAAAATTGCTTGGTCCTTAAGTTAACACGGAGACATGAACCGTGTCTCCGTGAGACATGGAAACACTAGCGTGTCTCCTTCTCTGGTTTATTTGTGGCGTTGCTTCATCATTGAGCATGATACATTATGGTCGTACTTGATTGAGTTAAAAGTTTTATTGGGGAACTTGTAATGTCCAAGACTGTCGGTGTCCTTAAATTTCTGTTTATATAATTTTGTATTATTGAATTTCGTAATTCAAAATCTGCTCTTCATTAACGTTAGTGCTTCTTGTTTGGTTTGACAGTTCCCTTGAAGAGAGATCTCTGTTTTACCTATACATTGTGCAATTGGTCTCTTTTTACCAATTATAGCATTTTTTGGAGGCTTTTTTGCGAGTGGCTTTAAAAGAACTTTCAAGTTCAAATTATGATAGCATTAATTTTTCTTTTCTTAATTGGAGCTAGGCTCTCAAAACCTAGGTTCATTATTGTTTTTCTTTATGCAATATATGTGGAACTTTTTGACTCGTATGTTAAAAGCTCTTGTATCATTGTATTACCCATTCTTTAATGTTTTCTTTTTGGTGCAGAATTTTGGTGATAGCATTATCGAGCATGGTGAAATCACTGATAGAATGGTAATTGCCAGGTTAGTTTGAATGACGATTAAGGTATATGTATGGAAGCATGGTTACACCTAGAAGTTACATCCTTTACTACATCTGTGGTCTGATAAATCGAGCATTATCTTTGTTAGTAATCTCAACATGGTTTATACTCCTGTGTTAACAAAAATTTATATTCTCTCATTGTGGATCGGAAGCATAAGAATGGTGGTTGTGGGGTTCAAATGTGTGATCTTTGTACATAACCGTTTTGGTAACATGTTGTGTCCTACTTATCAGTTCTTTTTAATTTTTGACATGTGAGGATATAACACCTGCATGTTTGTTTATACTCTCTTGATTTCTGACACGCAATAGGCCTGACACATCAAGGACTCAATTAGCCCATTTAGTAATCTCTTTTACAAATAATCTCTCATGGATATATTGGCGTTGCACTTCCTTTCTTGGCTGGAATGACTTATGATAGAGTACGTCTTGTTCATCTTGACATCATAGGTGGAATAGCTATCCCAATGTCAAAAATATTGACGATAGTTAGTTCTCTGGCATAGATAATACAATATACAACCCAAAGTTATCTTAACATAACAAGTAGTCAATCAAATTCAAAAAATTAAAAAACTCATCTGCTAAAATTGGAAATCAAAACTAAAAACTAAGGGTTTAATTTTTTCGAAGATAAAATAATGATATATAGATGTGTAATTTTATAATTTTCAATGAGTCGAGACCGTGACATGTCCATATGCTCTTATTTTGAAAAATTATTTGGCGTATCTCCTATGTCATGTCCTTGTCCGATCTCTGTATTTGTGCTTCATAGTCTCCTTGCTGCAACCTCCTATCAACTGTGGAAGCCCAAATAGTTCGAACCAACTGTTTGTCTTAGCCACCACCTTCGTGTCTGAGATTTCATCATTGTGCTCACAATTGCAGAATAAGGGAAGGGAACCACAGAGGTTTTAAGTTGGACATGGACAAGCATAGATGTCTCACTTGTTTGATACGTGTGAGTTGCTAACTCTTGGAACTAACTCTTGGAACTAATCTCAGAATGTCATTTTTGGTACATACATTTTTTTTGTCGCTTGTTACCAATGGATTTAAAGTTTTGTGTTCAGTGATTTGTTTAATGAACTTGATGGTGAGAATTTCTAGCATTATTTTCTCAAGTTAAGGAACTAATATTAACGAAACAGGTGGCCTCAACTGGTTGTAATAATTGGATAACGAATGGACTGTGATGGCTATGATATATGAGAAGTTAAATTTCGTCGAAAATAATCTCCCATTTGCTCTCTAACTGATTTTCTTTTCTTTCTTCCACCATTGATAGAACAACAACCATTTAGTGATGGTGCTGATTGAGAATAGAGTTGGATGGGAAAATGTGGCTAAAATATGCTTCAACTCTGAAATATTCCACCACATATACACACAGAATTAAAAAAAATAAAGATAAAAGATAAAAAACAGAGAGAATGCTGGGCTTGTAAAAATGAGGTTGGATTTTCCACATTCAACTATCCAATAACTTCATTTTTATCGGGCAATTGTATAAGCTATTACAGTATTATTCAGTTGTTTATTATTTGTTTTTTTTCCTAAATTTATGCTACTTGAATTTTTATTCTTTGATTCACTGCTAGCATTGAGCTGTTCTTTATGTATGTTGCATTAGGTGTATGTCTTTATTTTGTTGTNTGTAGTTTTTTCCCTTGATAATACATTTTTGATCAATAGGAATATTTACTTTTGGTGCTTGATGCTGGTCCAACAATGTACGCTGTGCTGCCAGAAGTCCAAAAAGTTTGCTCTATGTTAGTGCAAAAGAATGTCTGTTAATTTTTTTTTTTAATTTCTTTTTGCCGCCAACTTCTTTGTTCAATGTATTTGTGGATTCTGGCATTTTTGTATTTATTCTAAACTCCTAATATCCTTTTTTGCATTTACACAGATGATATTCAGCAAGAATGATGAAGTAGGACTTGTTGCATTTGGAACCAAAGGTATTTCTGAGTATGTGAATTAGCTCAATGTTAGATGAGGAATTATATTATTTTTTGGCCAAATCTTTGCTCACTCTCTATTGTTGTTGAGTTTTAATTCTCAAGATAGGAATCGTTCCAATTGTTATTTGTAACATTATATGTGTAGTATCATCCAACCAGAATCATAAAAATGTTCATATTTGATTTTATTGTTTTTTTGAGTTGATCAAAATTAAATGTTGAACCTTATAGTTGTATTTTCATTTCATTTGCTTCTGATATGGAAATCAAGAAAAGAGTATTTCCCACATTCTAGAATAATGATTTTCCTTTTACATTAAATGTTGCTTCTTTAGGACTTCTAATTGGCGTGAAAACAATGTAGCCTTTTGAATTTTTCCTTTTTTATTATTTCAATTAAACGTTCTCAATTGATTGAGATTTTGATTATACCCTCCTTTCAAAAAATACCATATTCTGGTACTATTTTGGCTAATATGTTATTCTTTGTACCTTAACTAGACTTTTGAAATTATTTCCTTTTTGTTCAGTTAGATGCCCTTATAAATTCCTTCTCTTTCTTTTACTATTAATCTTTATTCTCACCCCATTGACAATTTAAGTGACTTCTATAAATTTAGCCAAGACCCTTTCTTATGCATTGAAAGTGCTTTCACTTTTGTACTGATAAACCTTGGTTTTGGATACGTTATTGGACTCCTCTTTCATATTTTAGCCATGAAGAAGAATGTCAAAATGATATAAAATTTTTAACAATTATTCCATTGTCTTTTCTATTTGTTTAGTTTCCAACTTTATTGTATTAGTTATCCTCAACGATGTTGTGTTCGTTTTAATGTGTTTATATAGTGATCTATTTTTGAGGTATATTTTTTGTCAAAAAGACTGGATTCAGAGGATAAAATTAAAATATATAGAGGGTGGCATAGAAAGTGGTTTGGAATGTCAGTTGACTATCAATGGGAGGAAGAGTGACATCAATTGTTCGAACAAGGTCGTGGTTATCCCCTCTTGTTGCTTGAAAGCTAATGCATCGGCTCAAACCTAGATGCCATTTCACAGTTGTTTCGGGATGGTTATCTGAACTTCAGTCGTCCTCAGGTATTAGCACATTTCTGTTTCTTATTTTATCTTTTGTTTGTAGAACAACTTGATTTTCTCTATTAAACTGTCTATTTTTTCGTCATTTTATTGACTTCTTTTCACGTAGATAAAGCTCAGAAAAAATTGTATTTCTACAACCCAATGTAGCCAGGTATCATTGCCTTTACTCTCACTTACCATTCAACCTATGTATTAGTTGTTATACTTAAAAATGTGGTCTTCCATTGCTTTATCCAATCCACGCGTTGAACGTCTTATCTCGACTCTGTTATGGAGAAATTTGTAGACTCATCTCAACCAGGTTTGTTTTATCAGTTTCTTCAACCTGTTTTTTGTGATTTCTGGAAAGAATTGGTAGTTTGATGTCGTGAATATTTTTGCCTTTTTTTGTTTTTTTTTTTTACCCTTTTCAGCTTAAATTGTTGGAATACTATGGTGTCCCCTTTTTTTATTAAATTAATTTCTTTATTTTGTTTATTTGTAGATATTCGATCTTATTTCTCCTCCTTTGCACTTACCTATGAATTCCTTTCAATGCGTTTATCATTGAATTTCAGCAAAACTTTTGACATCTGAAATTGACATTGGATGTTTGAAATATGGTGTATCTTTATGAAATCATTCCAAATCTGAAATTATCAATTTTTACTAATTTATTAGTAACTAAATAATTTATTATGATCAAAACTTGGTTTAGTTTTTAAAGGTAATCCATTAAGATTTCCTCAACGCCTATTTTACTTGTATGATAATCTTTTAAAAACTTCTTCTATACCACTGTCAGCTCCTCTAGGAAACTGGAACGTGATCCATCTATTTATGTATATTTACAAACATTTAAGGCCTGTATTAGTTGCATGTTTTTTTCCCTATATTCTTCCCCAAAACCAAACATGTGTAGGAACATTTGTCTGACATTAATTATTCTGTCCCACAGGGATCTTCAGGTTTAGAATGTCAATATCATAGTTCCAGATATTAGTAAATTTGATTTGGAAGCTTCCAATGACATAATATTTCCATCGAAATGTTTGAGGTACTTAATCCTTGCTAAGTCCTAAACTGGGCTATGAGGTTTGGTATTGATTTTGACATGGCTGATCAACTTGTTTTATTCTTTGGAAAATAGCATATGAAAATCTATCAAGGCCTTCTTAAAAAGATATCAGGTGGATGAAACCAGATGGTCTTCTGTTTGTCCATTATTTCTGCCATAAAACATTTGCTTGCCACTTTGAGGTAGTCTTTTGTGATTATTTTTCTTTTCCATCATTTGAAACTCCAAGTTGAAGGACATTAGATATTGTTAATTCCTGTAAACGTTTGCTACTGAATTGTTTTCATCGAAGTTTAAAAAAAGGAGACTAAATAACCATCTTCATAAATCTTTTGTAGAATGTCAATGAAAATGATTGGATCACTCAGTACTTCTTCGATGGAGGCACGATGCCATTTGCAAACCTACTTCTTTATTTTCAAGTGAGCTTACCACAAACCTATTCTTGAGGATGATGTCATATTATAATTTCTTTTCTAATTTCTTCCGTCCATTTCCATTTTTAAGTTTCTCTCTCCAATGACTGGTCTTCTCGTGTAATGCTCAAAACTGTTTCAAATGCACTCTATTATCTAGAATTATACAGGAGACCAAGTCTTCTTAGTCCTCCTGAATGTCAACTTTCTAATTGATAGGTATTGTACTCAGTGTTGTACATAGTATTAGAATCATTGTTCTAAGGGTACATTGAAATGGAATGTGCGAGGATTTTGCTACAACACTGTGGAGTGCATAACAAGAATTATTTCTAGGACCATATAAACAAAGGTTAGTTTTAGTAGCATTAGTTTTTCCCTGGTATTCCTTCATTAGCTTCTTAATCATTATCAAATTGTATCTATATAATTGATTATATATTGAGTTTGCAGAATTTCTTTGTTAAGGAAATTAACCAACAGTGTTGCACCTTATTATTTAAATTAGTTTATAATTATTTTGATTTGTTATAAAGTTTTTATGGGATCTAAATATGTTAAAGTTTTAATAAATTGAATATCTCTATGGGTTCTTGGTTATTTGATAAAACAAGTGCTAATTATCTTTTATTTATGTGCTTCTAAAGCAATTTGGTTGAATTGATGGTTGTAGTGGTGTACTATTTATTTGGTACGTAAATTTTTCAAAAAAAGAATTGTTCTTTCAGTTTATTTCTTATCGGTTCATGTAGAATATTTGCATTTCCTTTAATGAGTACATTTTCTCTTTACATATAATTTACCTAAAAATTAATTTTTACTTTTTATTTCTGTGTAGTATTCTATTTTCAAGATGTTGGTGTGCATTTTTTCTACGGTGAGTTCTTTCAAAAAAAAAAAAAAAACTCTTTCTTCCATTTATTTTTTCATACATTTGTGTACCAAGCCTGTCCATGAGGACACTGTCCTTGCAATTCACAAACAGATTGAATCCAGAAATCCTCTTGCTTTTGCTCCTAAAAATGATTAGGATCTTGGATCATCTATCTAAAGCCATGTTATTCACTGAATTCTGGACCCATGTTCTCCTCACTTGGTCCTTAAGCGCATTTAAATATTCTATTTATTTATTCATTGCATATTCTATTTATTTATTCATTGCAGGAGGAGTCTAGCAAAACTTCTACTTCATCTTGACATAAAAGAGGATGCAATTGCGAAAAATCTGGGTGCCCGATGAAATATTGTAAATGCTATCAGGTTTCTTTTCAACTTTTCTGATCATATTCGAGCTTTTCTTTAGCCTATAAGATAAGAGATCATCTTTCTATTGAAAGATAGTGTTGGATGCTCTGTTAACTGTAGACGTGAAGGGTATCAGAATGCATTTGGTCCAAAATACGATTAGCGTGGTTTTACGAGTCTCAATTGGTACTATGATTTGCAATTTTATTTTCCTTTCTGAGTTAGACTTTTGTTTAACTGGTACAGGAGCTCAAGTTGAAGAAGATGAAACGTACACAACCGAGAAGCTATACAGAAATGCGTATTTCAGAATGATCTGGAGCAGAATTTTGATTATATCTGTTGAATATTGATGCCAATTTTGTCATTTGGATTCAACTTAAATGGGTAATGATGAAATGTGCTTGGCCTAATACTGCTGAAGTGTTTTGGAAGAGAAACCATTGCCTAATAACACACAATGACCGGCCCAAAATACCTGGCCCAATTAACTACCACTTGGAGCTGCTTTGACCGTTGGATGGGAATTAAATCAATGGTGATGGCTTGGGCTATTTATACCAGTTGAACTGTCCCTTGAAGCCCTAATTTCTCATTTGTGATCTCCCGTTTTCTCTGTGAAATCTCTGGGTTCTTCTGCCTTCGGTTTTCTTCGTGATTCTATCTCTTTCTCTATGTAATACTTAGTGTATGATTAAAACATGTGGTTTTAATCTTCAGTCTTGGTGA